TTAAGTTTTCGTACTAGGATTAGCTCATGCTTATTTTTTGTGTGCTCAATATTCGTGTGCTTATCGCAAAGCGGATAACGCCCACCATTGTTAATGGGTATATTTTTCATGTGCTTCCTTCGGATTGGAAATTTCCAAGGAACGTATTTCTCTTGTAATTCCATCGCAGAAAAATATCTCCAAACAGTCTAAACACTTTCCTGGAAAAAATATGCTCCCGCTTGTACCTAAACTCAAAAGCTATCTTATCCGACATGTAATGACTAAGTATTGGTGACGATATTAACTAAACCTTCAAGCTTGTCACTATTCCGGAGACAATCACATTTCTGACTCATACTACGATTCGTGATATCTGTTTTGAGACTCAGAACTCGAAATTGAAATACTACTTTCCTTACTGATATATAGGGGGAAATAACAACAAATATTCACGACACACAAAAAGATCTAAAATAACCATAATTGGAATTTATTCCAGAATTTAATTGTATATCTAATCATTTAATTGAATTTTAACTTATAAATTAAAACGATTTCGGGCGAACTTGGGTCAAAGTAATTGTAAAGTAATTGAAAAGTAAAAAATTATACGTGTATTCGCTCGTATATCGAGTTACATTATATCCAGAAATAGGATAATGAAACGAAGAATTTAATGGTTGTGTCAACAGCAATTTTGAAGAGAAAGTCTCCTCTTTGCAATAACGTAATGACCACAAAATGACCAGTTTAGAAATAACGAACGATAAAGACACTGATAGGAAAAAAATTTAGAATGTGATTAAAAGATAGAATTTAGAATTGATAAATGATAAAATTATTCAGAAATGATAAAATATCATCGAAAAAAAAAAAATAAATAAATCGGATCAGAAAAACGGTTCATTACAGAACTTTTGTTTATTAAAACATAATTTGTATAATATAAAAATAATTGCATAACTTATTTTTTATAATATAAAAAAATTGCATAAATTATATCGATACATTTAAAATCAAAACAATACAATCTACAATATTTTTTTTATAAGCAGCCAGGAAAAATAGTGTTGTATAATTCAACAAATAACAGATATATAATTTTTAAAAAACTTCCTATCGTAAACACCACCTTACATTACTTTAATTAAAAAAAAAATTAAAGTTAATAATTTTCCTTATTGTATGTGAAACCGTATTTTCAATATCTATCTTGTTTATCTTTCGCAGAAGTGTCTGTATATATAATAAAAGTTTTCTGACAAATAATATCTCTCGTTTTTAATAAAAATTCTACGTTAAAATGAAATCAAGTAATTACAAAAATCTAAAAGATGCAATGGTTAATGCAAACGTATATGAGTGTGAAAATTATTCAACGAGGTAGAAAGGTACACTTTCTACCAGGAACTGTTTAGAACCTGATTTATCAAACGATATGACACGCACATGTTAAATGTCACAATGCAAAATCGCTATAAACTTACACTACGAATAGGTTATGCGTATAACGTATTCTTGATACTCAAAAAAATATTATTTCAATTCGTTACGCACAAAAAACAATATAAATAAAAGGAATTGATACCATATAGATTTTAAAAGTAAAATTTCTAATTCACGTTTCGAAATGAAAATGTTTTTTTTTTAAATGTTTATAATGCATATGAATATATTGAATGTAAATACGTGATAAACAAATGTAAAAGTCATGTATAAAAATTTGAGATTGTCAACGTATCTAAAGTAGGCAATTATAAACTTTTGAGATATCGAATCGTAAGAGCCGATGTTCGCATTTTGGTTCATAGACTTTTACCGCATTGCTGGCGAAACCGCGCGACTGGAATTGGTCTTCTAATAAACTACAACAGCCCAAGTTCCGAAGATATTTTACTAATAAAATTCATCCTGATTATATTATTCTCCAAGAAATGTCAATACTTTTTAAATTGTTCTTTTTCTAATTTTCTATTTCGCCGATTGCATTCGCACGAAAAACCTACAGTAATGAAGAATGAGTTTTAACGAAAATATATTTTTAATTATCAAACATTTTGGAATGATCCTCTAATGAAATTACTTTATAAAATACCATTAACTGCGATAGAAATAAGAAAAAATACTAATTTTAAAAAATGGAGTTACTACGCAATTATCCACTAATATCAGAGATATTGCTCCTTTTTACAAAATAATATCAAAATTTAAATGTAATTCAAGGAATTGGTTATCAATGAAGTAGACATATTTCGTAAATCAAACAAATAATATTCTGTCCAGAATAATTGTGTCCAGAAATATTTTCTATCCTACTGTCTCTCCAATCAGTAATAACGAAGCTGCGATAAGTTTTCTTTCCTAGTCATCCTAACAAAGAAATTCCAAAATTTTCAGAAATGACAAAGAGCGATAAATTTTCGACTAACAACGGAAGTGGCATGTTTCTCAGGTATTCGGATTTAACAAATCCGAAAGGGTACAGCGATTAAGCGTAACGTAACCGTAAAAACATGGCTGAGTTGAAGAGGCGAAGAGATCAGTAAGAAGCAGGCAAAGTACGGTTAGTTTCTCCCCGGATGTCTGATGGCCTCTTTCTCGTGCAAGCGGCCTTGCCAGGAATGCACATTTTCTACCAGTTGGCCGTTTACTTTGGCTTCGATTCGAATCGATGCACAGACGGTCTACCACCTTTCACCCATCGTCTTCTAATCACGTGACCGTACTTGTTATTGTTCGACTTCGTCATTGTGTTTGTCATACGGATTGTGTTAGAAGTTCTCGGTAACTGATTATCAACTTTCCCTCGGACATTTCCTCTTTCTTAAAATTCCTAGAAGGTTCAAGGGTCCTTCGTGCCTGCTTTACGTCTTTCCCTTAATGTGATTCTATATACTACCGTCTTTCTTTACATAAAGTTCAAGGCAATAACGCGTTACTTGAAAAATAACTGAGAAATTTTCTCTCGTTGTCATTTTATTTTATAACAGCGAGAAGGTGTTCGTTTTGTATCATTTCTTGAATGTACTGCAATTTTAAAAATATCTGACAAGTAATTTTTTAATAATATTTAGTAATTTCTTTTTGCTGTCGTTATTATAGTTATTAAAGTGTTATCAATCTATAGACAAATATGGATAAATGTGTAAATATGGACCTAGTATGTTACTAACTAAAAATTTCTTTTTATTACTGAATTAAAACGTCGCTAATTCATATGCAAATGCGGACTTGGTAACAGATCACTCAAGATTTGTTACTGCACTGTTATTTGATCTGAACCGTTTTCAGTAATATAGAAAGAGAAAGGACACCCGTAATGGCGTTTCGACACAAGCAACTAACGAATTTCTAATGAATTTCAGTCTCGTAGGAAAAAAAATGATATTATTAAAACGGCAAGAGGATAAACTCTTTCAAGGTGTAAAACTGCAGAGTAGTTGAACTTGTGTAGAAGTTGAATTATACGTGTAAGAAATCCACAAGATGAACCAGTGACCTAAAATTTACATAAAATCCAATTCAAAGCTAGGTTTCCATGTTGGACTGCAGAATCAGCGTGATTACATTGCAAAATTCGTATCTTGATGCAGAGAAATTTTCAAATATTTCATCAATATTGAATTCACAACTTCCATGCAGACAATATCCTACGTAGAACGAAAAGAATAGTAAAAAGCTTAAATTTTTATTTCGAACAAGAGCTACTTTCTTTTTCTCTTATTCCTTTAAATAAAATTACAATGTAAAGGAACGAAGAGAAGTATCAAAAATTTCAAGCATGCGTTTGAAAATTAAAATTGTTATTTAATTGTCAAGAAAATAACGCTATCAGATATTGAAATTACTAATAACAATTAAAAACAACAAGACTGCTATGTGTGTAAAATCATTACTCATAGTTACAAACGTATTTTACGTATGTATGGAACTGAATAAGTAGCAAGATAGTAAAAAAAAAAATTAGAATATTATTCCAAACAATAAAGCGCAGTAAATTAATTACTGGTGCGCTTCTATTGTGAGCTCAATTTCATTGGTTGTCCTGAGCATTATGCAATTTTGTCGATGATGACCTTCACAACAAACAGATATTATTCAACAGGTCGAGAAAAAAGGCCTTGACAATCTCAATAGAATCTCAATCTAACAGTGAACAATAATTCTTTCGTTATGTACATACTGTATTGTAATAAAGTGCGATTAGAAACCATGTTCGTGATAACTACCGATTTCCAGAAACTGCAATTAGAAATACGCGGAATTACGTATCGCAAGCATTACAAAACAGTTTCTGCAGATCTTTGTAGAGGTTCAATTATTTCTTGCGAATTAAATGAAATTAAATTTCACAAATTTCATCCTCATGGGATGGGCATTTTAGTAAATAAATAATGAAAGATCATCATTTTATTATCTCCATAAGAGCAAATAAACTGCATATACACACAGTTATTTCATCATTCTAAATTTCATCATTATTTACTTTTGAAATTTCGCACGTGTTCGCATGTTACATACATGCCTGCGTTATATATTATTACAATTCGATATTGACCGTTCAAAAAATATCAGACGATCTTCAAAATCATACGCCTCTCGCGACACACGTGACACATCCGACTGATAAACTAAAATTTAGCTACTAAATCGTCACCTTACAGATGATCATTGACTCACGCGACATCTTCCGAAATCTATTGTAAGCACCATTTTACCTCGTACGTTTGAAAGTTTTCGACGAAATAATTTATCGGCAAAATGACAAATCGGTTTTCTTTAAGGATAAATAAATAAATATAACGAAAAAGAAGAGACACGAGCAGAACCAATTAATCCAAATTAATAATGCCAGTGACAAAAGTAACATGCTGTTTTGCAAACGCGAGTGACGTAGCACATTACTATCAACGAGAGAAGCATCAGTTCTTACGTGAAATATATGAGCGATGTGAAAACATTCGATCATTCGAATAAAGACAACTGCCGCGGAACATAAGCGTGACAATTCAACTTACCTATCACCGTGGACATTTTTCGGTTCATGTGCCGTTTGCGTTCCGTCTGGTCCCAATTTTTGTTACAACCGTTGGTAAGAAACAGCGACGACTGATAACATCTTTAGCGGCGTAATTGCCTATTGGTGATCCTATCCACTTTCATGATACCCAAACGTACGAGGGTAACATACGAGGTCTCTTCGTCGGAGGATATAAGGCCTATATGGCGCGAATACTCGAAAGAACAATGACGACTATCTAAATGAATGGACACTGCTCCTCATGCTTCCTAACGAAAAGACCGCTCGTTGAAATTATATAACCTCCGCGACAGCAAAAGACGATATGATACTGACAAAACGATGTTTTTGTGCGAGTTAGTAGCCACGAGACCCGGCAATACCACTGCTGTTACTACTATCGTTAAACTCACTCTCCGTACGGTAAATCACTAAGTTTTCGAAAGGATCGTTTCGCTTGTCAACTATCGGCCAATATCTCCCTCGTATCCTATTTTTATGCACGACACTCACATTGCGCGACAATTTACGGTAAACGCGTTTTGTTCGCACACTTTTGACACGCGTATCTGAAGAAACCATATGCTGCCTGTAACTATAATTTCGTGCTCAATACACAGACGACGCAATTCGTTTATTGATAAGCGTATTATCGTACACAAAGGTACAAATCGTAAAATTTTCGGATGAAAGTGAATTAGGTTAATAAACGTATTTCAAAGAGAGAAAAAGTAAACGTGTTTCCGTAGCTGTGGTACTTTAGATTACAAACGATTACAAAAATAATCTTGAAAATATCCATAGAAAAGAGGTAAGAGAATCCTGTAACAGTACCATGTACAATCTCTATACTATCGTGAATTTTCTATACTTGTGATGAAGTTATTACTCGATTATTTTCACTATAAGGTAAATAAGAAAGAAAGAAAGAAAAAAAAAGAGCGAGAAACGTGTGTACCGTGTGGCTTGATTGCCACATGTACACAGACTATGCGCAACATACAGCCGAACTCGATGTTCGGATGTTTTCGTATGTCTTCGGTACGTTAGCTATGTCGCCTCGTTTCATCCTATTCTCTTTCCCTCTTCCTTTTGCGGATTCTTTCCCTGTTTTCTCTTGGGATACTTCTTCGTACATCCTTTCACATAGCCCATATGTCTATGATCTTTACTGTCTCAATTCATCCATTAAACAAATCTTAATTTAATGGAGGAGAACTGTTCCCTGCGATTCAACAGATTGATCCCCCACTCTCTCTTTCACGTTTGTTTTTATTTATACACGCATTCAGCATATTTTTCTCCTCACTTCGTACTTTTCCTACTACGCTTTCTCGAAGGAAGAATTTATGCCGAAAGCGGAAACTAAAGTAGAAAATAAAATGAGCTAAGAAATCATTGATTCGAGGAAAACTAATTCATGTAGGAGGAATTATTGTGCCAATATAATAATGTCAAGTATCTTGAATAAGGTCATTCCACGACCGATTAATGCCTGTATTTCCGCTACGTGAATTAATATATAATTATAATTCTATTCATTGTTTTAATTGCTCCCCATTTACGATTCTCGAAGTATGAAATTTCTGAACTTGTAACCGCAGGAAAAAAATATTAATTTTCTAAATATTATAGTTTATCAACTTCATTGTTTCGAGAAATATTTTGGAAATATATTACTACATAATTTTTTTATTTAATTGAAAAATATAATTTGTAAAATTCTTGATTGTATTAAAAAAATTTAAAAAAATTGAGGATTACATAAATTTGACATATCGGAAAATAGTAGAATTCGCATAATTACGTCTTTCCCACGGCTTCCATAATTTCATTACGTTAATTTCCTTGGATGTTTAGTCGTTAACCAAATATAAATTAAATAATTTGATACAGAACATATGAAGGTATATAAAGTCCAATAACCATATTAAAAAAAATTAAATAATTTAAAAAAAGTGATAACCGAGTCCGACGTATTTCAAAATGTATGCAATAATGAAACTGTAACAACGTGTTATTGCATCAACAGAATTTAAATATTACTCACAAAATATTGTTATAATAAATATAGTAACATAAATGAATTGTTAAAATTATTCGAAAAGTAAATTGTTTAAATTAAATATCTAAATAACAGTAACATCAATGCATTATTTTTAGACCAGAAATATACAAACTATAAAAAATTTATTAATCGACTTGCATACAAGTGCTGCTTTCTTTGTTCAATTAATTTTATTACTTTTTCAGTAACATCTTAATAAAATAACGAGATAGAAAATAAACGCGTTATCGTAGACATTTTTACGGAATATCCTTAATGGATAGCCACATGGACCGCATGGTAATCCTAACCTCAAAACCTAACCTTCTTCCACTTAACGAACATATTGAAAGCTGATCGTATAGAAAAGCGTACATATACAATAAATAAGAGACACATGCCAATACGTATAAAAAATCAAGCGAAATTGAAGATAAAATTGCAATAATGTGACTATGTACTCACCAGCATTCGGTACGAAACGCGGTGTGTTTGTCGTAACCACGGTGTTGTAGGTTTGAGGCGAATGAACACTCGGCTGATTGACGTTCACTAGAAGTTGAGGTTGATGCTGTGCCGGATTATGATGCGACTGTGGATGATGGTGATGTTGGGGCAGGTGGTGATGTTTCCCTTTTGTTGGCATGCTCATCGCAAGTGTAGACCTCCTTTCTTTAAACTCTCCACTACCTTCAAAGCTTGTTGCCTTATGTGGTTCGCTGTGGTCCTCATAGGTACGTTATTTTTGCACGTGCAAAATTTAAGCGTTACGTTTGTCGAAAAACTTCTTGTTCAGAGTAAACTTCGCTGAAAAATTGGTAGTAACGTAAAATGATGATAAACGTTCGGTCACCCGTACGGAACTGATGGCACACGATGCACGCGCGCGCACTTCAACCACGGTTAATTTATACGCAAAACTATTTCTCCACTTTCTCCATACTCCGCTTTTTCATCGAAATATGCCTCCGTTTGCATTCACGCCGACAAATTACACGATTTTTCAGCAGGCTGTTCCTCTCCGTTGGCACATTCGACCAAAAAGTGTTTATGCTGTCTATCGCTTTCTTTTTTCTCTCGGATTCGCGCGCGGTTGCAATATTCAACTGCGCACGGTCATTTATTTCTTCTCGTAACTGCTAACAAGCTATTGTCGCCAATAATCGCACATAGGTCGTTGTATCTGCTTAAAGTAACGCTTAAATAGCGTTAAATAACTTGTTTTCTTGTAAGAAAAAAGAAGCGACGCGCACGATATATTAAGCACACTACAGCACGCCTCTCTTTCCATTTCCTATATAACGTTTCATAATGGCAATATAAAAATCTTCTGTTTACACATTTAAAGCGGCGAACCATTCGATATGAATAAAAAATCGCTGATAAATAATATTTTCAAATTATTTAATTGTAGATCACAATTATATGCGCATTAATTAATTTATGCAAAAAATATTATTTTTTTCGAAACGATACAAATGGATTTGTGGTAACGGAAAGAAACAAAAATTATTCAGCAACCAATCAGATGTTTGGCATAAACTACACAATGAATATAGAATCAGTCGTATAACTATTTGATTGGTTGTTGGCCCAAGTAAATTATTTAGATAATAATGTACCTAGACAAACAACGTATTTTATAAAAATTACTTTTAATAATAAAATTTAAACCATTTTTGAATGTTGCAATATTTTATTTTAATTTAATTTTACTTTAATGTCGGGAATATATATGAATTTGCTATTAAACTAATATAATTATAAAATAAGATAAATCGTGTAAAAAAATGTTACGACTTTAAATGTAAATGTTATATCAACATATTTCTCCAAACAAATACATTAATTCATATATATATTTTACTAGATATAAAATCATATTTTACTAGATATACACACAGCTACATATACATACACATATTTGCTTTTATATCTAATAATTACTATTAATGGATTAAATTACTACATTTTTAACATTATTACATTTTTATCATCTATTATTGGTCTAGTTTAGTGTAGTTGTACATTAAATGGTTATAGAAATATCATAACCACAATATATTTTTGAAGCTCAAAAAATAATTAAATTGCTGACAAATAATTAAACAACAGCAATACGTATGAAAAATGATATGGATACACACATATGTGATACAAATACGTAGATATAAAATGATTTAAGAAATTGTTAGATAAATTTGCCACAATAATTTCTGATAATATTAAAAAATTGATCTTAACCGTAATTTTACTTTGCATAGTTCGGACCGTTCAACACGTTTCCTTTACTTTTTGTCACAAATTTATCTGATTATTATTATTTCAATATTAAAAAATGAGTTCTCGCGGTAAAGCGCAAACTGAGCAATTAAGAAAAAATTTAGAAGCACAATTGGACAGACTAGTACAACAATTAGAAGATATAGAAGAAAACCGGTATAATTACTGAATTACATTTTCTTAAAATTATAATATTTAAAAAAATTATAAAGTTGTTTATTTGGAATTGATGTTTTTCCATAAAATTATTATATATTATAGAAATTTATTGGATGCAGCTGCTTATGAAGAAGCTATGCAACTCACAAAAGAGGATTTACAAGAATTCAATGGAAGTTTGCAAAGAATGATATCTGGTGACACGACATTAGTTGATCAACTGGGTGCAATACAACTAGTATTTTATAAATATAGATATTTTCTAATATTAAAAAATAATGAATTATAAAATTTTACAAATATTGTAAATGTATTTACAATTCTAACTAGGCAATTCAAGCAACAATTAGCGAAGCATTCAAGACTCCTGCTGTCATCAGAATGTTTGGAAAACGCGAGACATCACAGCTTAGAGAACGACTAGCTCAAATTGACTGTGATGTAAAACTTGGAAAACTAAGTAAAGAAACCAGTGATCATCAACGTGCGGAGGTATTAAATGCATTGAGACAGCTTGGAGAAAAATTGGAGCCTCAAGAATTACAATTATTGGAAAAATTAATGCTTAATAACATTGATACAACAAGTTATGTACAAGTAACTGAAAATATAGATAAGGGTCAAATGGCTATGGCAGCAGTAGGTGATGAAGTTAGAATTCAAAATATTTAAACTTTGAAATATATTTTTATAAAAATTTCTTACTTTTTATTAAAAATATGATAGTTCATATAAATTGGAGAAATAATTGTGAAAAAAGATTGAATTAATAGTATATGATTTCATAAAGTTAAATAATTTATTACAAATAATATATAGACAATATTGATAACTCAGCATGTATAGAAATACATATTGAAATATGTATTTTCAATTTTAAATGTAGTGTACTGTCACTTATTGTAAGTGAATTGGTTGTAATATGAAAATTTTGTTTTCTATTTTAATTTCATGAATCTTTATTTTATTATTAATTTTAATTAAATTTTAATGATTTAAGATTGAAAATGTTAACAATTTTCAGTATAAATTCAATTTTATAAATAAAACTTAAAATATATACATATGTTAAGCAAATATACAGCTTTATCATTTAATGTATTTTGTGCACTATAAGTCATATTCGCATTTATTTATTGCATTATAATATTGTAGTATAATGTATATAAAATATGTCTGTTTTATTTTCATGTCATATTTCACATAAGTTATTTACGAGAATAAGAATACATATATTTATGATATTTCGAATATCACTATTAATATCTATACATACCTATGTTATATAAAAATATTTTAAACAATAAATTTAAACACAGTTATATATTTTATTGAAGTAAAATTTTAATAAATTTGCTTTAGTTGTATAAGTTTACTATTCATACAACACCTCAAGATTTTACATTAAGTATATGATATTCCAGTAAATAATTAAAATAACTCAATATTTAAAACTGTTGAAATTTTAAACAAATATATAATGATCAGAGATGATTATATAAAGATTATTTTTTTACTTACAAACAAAGACTTACAAGAATTACAGATCAAAGCATTCACATTTGTTTGCATACATATTAGAAATGCTTTCATTTAAGTAGGAAACTCATAACATGGTATGTGAAATTAGCGTCAAGAATATATTAATATGATTCTACAAAGTATTCCTCTTTTTACAAATACAGAAATTTCTTTCTCATAAATTTTGTAATATCATCGCACTTATTGCACCTCAATCTAACGTTTGCGTCGGCAAACTCTTTTATGCTCACGCTGCCAATGGACTTGTTGACAATCAGTACTGCAATATGCGGTATTCCAACAGCAATGATATATTGCTTCAGCTTCACAATTATAGCACTAAAATTAAGGTAGATATTAAAATATATACAAAGTAAATATTAGAATATGTGTAAATCAGAAAAATATTAAAGGATTATTACCCATTGTTTCTTCTTTATTTCCGATATAATTTGTTGGTGTCTATCTTTTAATTGTCGTAATTCTTTAGCATGTTCGGCTTGTAATTTTTCCAATTCTTTGCATTTCTCCAGTTCTAATTCACGACGTAGCTTTTCCAATGCTGTAGTGGTAGGTTGCTCCGATGTTCTCCGTTCCCTTTTTATCTATAAAGTGTAATATTATGAAATTATACATGATAAACACAATCAATTAATGATTAAATATTATACCTTTGCAGGTACTGTTTCTGTTTGTATTTGTTCCGTCTGTATGAGAACACATTTTGTTCTTGGTTCTTGAGAGCTAGATGTAACCATATCTTCTTGAGAACCTTCTTTCTTCAAGCCTTGAGGACACGTACTGCATATCTCTCTTGCAGGTTCATCTTCTGCCACTGGCAAACAGGGTACTTGTCTTTCTTCGCTTTTAGCTTTAGTTTTTGAAGAATTTTCATTATGTACGGTTTCTTCCTGGTTTGGTGGTACATCATTATGACCATCCGAACTGAGACGTTCTACTTTAACCCTTAAATCCTTAAAAAGTTGTTTGCCTGGACTTCCCGTTGTATTTTTTGAACTTGATGACTCTATATTTCGGATTTTAGTTGGTTTTGGACCCTCGCCACCGTCGTCGATGTTCAAATCCTCGATGCTCTTGCCCAACTTTAGCAGCAAATTCTGATGATGCTTCAGTTCATCAAATGCTCTGTTCCAAGCAGTGGATCTTTTTATCTATGGAAGGTAAATTGTGCACGTTTTAAGAAAGGCTAATTTTCTTCTGATTGCACAATGAAACAGAGTGGTGAGAAATTAGTTGTACACTTTAGGCCATAGTATGTGCATACCTTCATTTCTTTCCACTTTCCTTTTTCCGAAGGCTATGCAAGAATTTCGTTGTTAAGATAATAATATACCTAAGTGCAACAACAATTTCTAAATTGCTTTTTCTCTCAACAGTTCTCTTCTATTGTGTCAGTGATACGATACATTGTAAATGGCGTGTAACCTAAACCCAGAATTTCACAGTGTTCGCGTGACAATTTCGCGTTGAACGCCGGATAATTCTGTGACTTATCTTTACCTGTAAACTTTGCAGACTGGTGGTAATCGGACGAATGAACATTTGTTCGATGTTGGCACGCATATGATGACCTCCAAAAAATCTGACATCATAAATATTGCCGTTAACTTGCATCACTTTAGCTGGCCAGTAGGGGTATCCTTTTTGTTTTGCATAAACTAATTGATGTGGTGGATTGCAGGGTATACAAAACCACAGTTTCTCTGATTTTTCATTTGATATCCTATAGCAGTCGGCACAGCGGCGAATTTCTTGAAGATCGTAGCAGCAATCTTGATACATTGTATTACCCATTTCTCCTATTATGCTATGAGCTAAATAAATATACATAGTCGAATAGTTAGCAATTATCAAATTTTTACATTTAAACTAATTTGTAAATTAGTTTCTGGTTATGTACCTCCATGATATACAATGATATTATGTAGTATGTTGTGTGCATCAGCTTGAAACTCAGCAAGATTATTATATTCATTTTTCTTAATTTTTGAATCCATGATTGCCAAGTCCATGTGGTGTTTTATAAGAACACCTGGACGCCATGCATCTTCTCCTTCACTAGTATAAGTTGTGCCTGAATATCTATTACTTGGTGTAACAATAGGATCATTGTTAAAAACGATAGTACGATTTGTAATTTCTGGTGGTAATTTTGCTTTCAAATGACCACAAGTAAAATTCAGAATGTGGTTGAGATCAATTTTGTCCGGATATGTATCATTATTTATGTTCTGTAACAAATATTGCTATTTTATTGGTAAATAATGTTTTGATCTCTATGTCTAATCCAATATACTTACTTCACAAAAATTACATATTTTCAATTTAATGTTACTAGCTACATGACATTCAGGATGATAAACTCTATGACATTGTTGACAACATTCTACAGTTCCTGCTTTTTGACATTTGTAGCAATACCAATCGTGACCATCATTAGGTATAATATCTGATGGTAATCTGTAACTCTCTTGTTCTATACCATTTTTTGTTGGTACTTTCTTTAAATTAACAAGTCCATCATATACTGCTTTATTTAATTCTTCTTGGGCCTCTTGTTCTGTAATTCCATAAACTCGAGCTAAATGTCGTACCATGCGATCATTATTTGGTAAACTTCTCTGATGTACAGTTATTTTGATAGCATCCCATATTCGTTGTGTCATGAAAGGATCAGTCCTACGACGAATGGACATGATGATAGACAAGCACTGAAACAAACATCGAACGAATATTGAACTTTTGCAAATTGTACATTTGTACATGCTTTAAATTATTTTGCAAAAATATTTTGTTTTATATAATTTCAAGCATATTAAAATTTGTTACACAAATTTATGTGAAATTTATCTGTACCAGCATTTATTAATATATACATAATCAGTATGCCCTCATGTTACAATGCTTGTTATATCTAAACTTTAAGAGTTAAGATACCCCTATAGCTTAACACAACGTACTAAAATAAAATACAATACTTGTATCCAACAGCAATTCTAAATAGTATATTTTTAAACTGCACAAGGTACACATAAAAGCAAATAGTTATAATAAAAAGTGAAAATATAAAAAGTTATAATCAATTTCTAAATAAAGAATATGTATTTTGTAATACTCAATGTATGTGCATGCACATTGCTGTTATCTAGTGTTCTCACAATTATAACTTTACTAAAAAAACAATATAAACAATGGATGGATACTCCATTATATATTTTGTCAGTGTCTGATGTATTGTTTTCCATGTTTATATCAAGTATATTATTTATAAATTGTATGATACACATTACTTATGTTGAACGCAATGAAATGAATAATATTTTTCCTATGAGTGATAGTATATGGAATATAAAAGATAATAATGAAAATCAACAAATAAAACTTAAAAGCTTTATAGAAAAATTTAATACCATTGTATATGATAATAATTTTAATGTAATTCCAAAATGCAATATCATAAATACAATAATGAAATATGGAATGTTATTTTTTCCACTTGTAAATTCATTTGTGTCTTTGTTGATATTCTCTGCACAAAGCAATTTAAATGTATTTTATCTTAAAAATTTGTGCTTCAAATTTCTACAATCTAAAGAAATATCATGTGAAGATGATACTACAACAAATAACAGTGAAATGCAATTTGATTCCGTAACATCCAAAAAAGTTTCAGTGATCAAACAATATATGAAGAATATTTTATATATGTTTAAATGTAACAAAATGATGAAAGATAAAAAAATTACTACCATATTTGTATTAAGTCAATGGATTATACCTATCCTTATTATGGGATTGTTATACTTATCTGAATATAATATAAATCCTACAAAGGACATGGAAAATAAAAAATGTTTTATTGAAAGTACACTTTTTCTTGATGATTGTTACAACAATATCAAAACTACAAATACATCTCAGGATACCAATATTGAAACATATACAATTCCAGACAAAGATTATATAAATAACAAAGAGGATGTAACATTACAAATTTCCAATACTCAAGTGAATGAGATAATATCAAAAATACAAAATCTAGTCTTTTCTGCAATGAATAACACATTTACTATTTCCTCTAATGCAACCTCTTATAACACTTCTGAATTTATAGATATAACAAACTATTTGGAACTGGATACTTATACAAAAGATATGAAGCAAAATAACAATACTACAAATGAATTTAATCTAATCAACATTGAAAATAATACAAACTTACAAAGTAATAAGCAAAGCAATTATACTGATAAAGATAATGAAAGATTATTGATGACAAATTTTTTGAAAAATACATTAAAAGAAAAAATTTACAATGGTGAAATTAATAGAAATAGCACAGAAAAACTAAATTTTAGAAGATCACCAGCAGGTATTATTGGAAGCGAAGATATTACAAATAATTTTATGAACATAACTGGAAAATATAATATACCATTTATGTTAAATGGGCTGAAGTATAATAGTAAACAGACAAAAGAATTGAAAGAGTCGAAACCAAAAGAAATTTTTTCAGATATCAAAACCATTATTTACAAAAGTGATAATACATCAAAGACAATGCAAATATATACAATGGATAAATGTTTTATATCAATTCAATTTCTAAAGGTACATTTGCTTATGATGGTATTTATAATATATTTTTTGCCAATTTTGTTCTCTTCAATTTTACAACAGCATGGTAAACGAAATTGTCAAATTATTCTTGAAAAATTAAAAGCAAAAAATAAAATTCTGTTAAGTAATTCTAAATCTGACCTCACAAGTGAAATTAACAAAATATATTTTGATGTTCCTATAAGTTCCAAAAGACCTACTTTGAAACAAGATTCTCAATGTTTGAATGAAAACCTTCATCCACAGAAGCCAATGGATTTTAATGAATTAGATCTAACAGAAATTCGCAAAGAAAACTTTAATAAAAAATGGAACGAAAGCTATAAAGACAATAGATATAGTATGTCATTCGATGAGACAAAAATACAATTAAATATGAATCAGTTAAATCAATATGCTATAAACACGCTACAACTTTTCGACAATATCAAAATGTCTTTACTAAGTGGGATATTATTATGGACACCTTTATTTTTTGAATACTTAATCAAAGTTTTTACAGTTTTATATATACCAGAATGGTTATTAACCATGACTTATTTGGTTGGTACAGCATTCAATACAATACGAAATGTTTTCAATCTTAAAATGATTAAGCTTCAAGAGAAGAATATGAGTGCTACAAAAACAAATAGTATTCATCCTACTGCAATTTTTACATTCCGAGGTAATTTCTTTCCGTGAAAAACATTTTGATGTAACTTTATACCAAAAACTTCACATTTGGTATATTTTCAGTTTTACACATAAATGGCGTTATGATAATAAGGCATTGTAATTAGATTTTCAGCTAAAATGATCTAAATTTAATTAAAACTTGATTTGATTACATTTTTTTTATTAAAATGTCTAATACCATTGAAATGTAAATAAATTTACTACTTTTTTACTTCGATTCATTGTTTTCTTTGATAATGTAATTATAAGCAGGAATTAAAGTTTCTTTTCGTCTGTAGAAATCTAAATTTTCTTACCAAAGCTGATACACTAACTAGCTGGTCGTACGCTGTTATTTCGAGATCGCAAATAATAATTTCAACTTTGAATTACAGTTAACGATCAGTTCATGTTTCTCCCCTTTTCCATAAAGTACATTGAGAAGCCAAAAGTAAAATTTTCGCCGACGCCCGCAAGCAATAATAAGACAATAATTAACGTTGAAGACGCGCAACTATATTGCACAGATCGCGCACGTCATAAGTTCAACCTAACCCTAACAATGCGTGCGCATATTGCGATTCAAAATTGAATATTATTCAAATTTGTAGTCTAATAGTAAAACATGATATACGTATTATATACATAAAGCGTATAATTCTGACATTTCAGAATTTAAATGTTATTTCTGATGTAGTAAAAGTAATCGATTTCTTATTTTTATACTGTACGTACAATCTATCTATATTTTTATTCAATTCGTATTAAAAATAATTTTTTGTAAATAATAACTTTCAGGTAGTTTAATGATGTTAAAAAATCAATCTTATGAGAATGTATCCTCCGAAAACAATTTTTTAGTTATACATATTTATAATATGTAATCATAAAATTTCGCACACTCCTTTGTCGTTATACAATTAAAAATTTTAATTTAATAATCACGTAATATTATTTCATTTTGTGAAACGTGCGATATAATGTTTACATGTATAGAAGATAATATACTAAATTATTTCGTTAAGTACAGTTCGTTTTGAATACATTGTTGCAATAATTATTTTATCTCGAATATCATTCCCGTTGAATTTTTTTTTTTTCTTATTAAAGTAAACGATGCGAAAGGAAGCTTTATATACGTGCTTTTATAAGGGGATTGCAAACAATATTACTTTATGTTAAGATGATCGATAATGGTGCAATACTTCTTTATTGATTATAATTAATATTAGATAAAATCAATAAATACTATTGTCAAAATTACAAAGAAGGTTGGGAAAGTCCAATTTCTTCCTCTAATATTTTTAAAATTTCAGTACCATCGCTCCATGGGAACACACGTGCGTTTATTTTTGGTATTTGGTTATTTTCATCGTGGTTCAACATCTTCATAAGCGTATAATCTTTTCGCGGAAATGCGATATCACGCTCGGAAAGGCGTAACATCGGGCACAAATCATTTTTTCCATCACCGACATATGCTATTCGGTCGAAATGTACCCCTTCGTTGCTTCGTTTTTTAACGTAATCCTCTAAAATCTGCCCTTTGCACAAATTGACGGTGCTCAGTTTGCAAGAATTTTGAACATGATACATGTCCAGTTTCAACAAACCATCGTTATCGATTACCGCGGGATTTGTGAATGTCTCGGCGACAGTGTAATTTAAATTTCTACTTTTCAACCATTTGTTAATAAAAAACGTGTTCGAATCGCTAATGATAATAATTTCGCAACCTCGGGAATGCAATTCTTTCAAGAGATTTTCGATACCCGGTACAGCAGGTATGTTAGTAATAGCGGTTTTGATTTGCTTTATGTCGATGGAATTACTGTGAAGCAACTCGAATATCTTCCCCATATATGTGATCCAACCATTACAACGATACAAATCCTTAATGCTCTCTGGGAATTTTTCCTTAGGTAATAGTTTTCGAGCCACGATATCGGTGTTATCATTGACGATCGTATGATCAAAGTCAAATGCGATAAGTACCGACCGATCCATCTATTAAAATACAAATACATTACAAAAATAACCGGAAAATTAATCAGATTCGAATGTTCGATTCGAACATTCCGACAACAATATTTGACTTTTATCTCGAGATGGCTCGAGGCTTGGGACGTTTCACAGTGTACAATTTAATCACTTTGATCCTTGAAAGATGAGATCAACATTCTTATTTTGTTGATTAATACGCAAGATTATGTAATATTAAAAGTATGTAGTTAAATATATGTTTTAAATATAAGGGTTACATCAATATGTTATGCAGGTTATTTGAAAATGTTACACTATTGTTACTTACTGTTAGCCAAATTTTCAAACATACATAAAACTGCAATTTTAGTGATGCAAATTAAGAATGGGAAGTTTACAACCAAACCCCGCGATAGGTGTTTGTCCGATGATAGACGTTTATAGATTCAATAATTTGGACAATATGAATTATTAACAAAGAAACCGTGTTAATTAATGTATATCCAAATATACTGACGCTTATATAGGTTAAGTAATCTGGACAATACGTTCTACAAATGGAGAAGAAAAATTTGCAACCGAACTCTCAGACAGGTGTCTGAAGACTGAAGATTTATTGTTAGTACACTGACACTTGTATGTGTAGAGTTTACAATGTAGACTCATAGGTTAGCATAGTTAGTATATCAAAATAAATAGATGGGAATCTGTTACTCCTTCCATATTTATTTATACGGCTTTGAATAGTTAATTATTTTTATATGTTTTATGCAAATTTGTTACTTTCAAAATATAAATATTATTATAAATTTACCTGTTATTTACACATTAAAAAATAAGTTTTAATTCAATTACGAATAAATTTTATTTATACTTTATTTATAATATAATTAAAAGTTTACCCTATATATGTATGATACAAATATTAATTAATACATGTAGTTCTTTATATATAATAAAAGATTGATATAATTATATCATTAATATAATTAACTAAACGATTATAAAATGATCAATAAATAAGTAATTATAAAATGCGCTGTCAATATTTGATAATAGTTTTACGTATTAAAAGAACTTTGAAAATAAAATTTTGTAGAAAATTTTAATTTCTTTGGTATATATTTCATATTTTTATTATTAGTAATACATTTTTTATCAAATTTCATAAAATACGCTACGATAAAAATAATATAGTGTACGTATAGCGATATGTATAATATATACATAAATTCTACACTCATGCGTAGAACGAAAAATTTTCAAATTTTATAAGATTATAATTAAGATTAAAATACTTTATATTTTATATATTGTATTATTAGGATAAAACAATATGATTCCAAGAAGTATTAAAATATCAGATAGTGAAACGGAGAGTGATGAAGATTTTTCTTCTACGGAAAAGGTGTGAAAGTATATACATATATTTATATGTAACCTACAATTTTTAACTGGCACTTTATTATTTCACTATAATAATAAAAATAATTAGTCTTTTTAAAAATATTAAAACGAAAAAATCGAGGAAAAGTTACTTGATTTAGTTAATATAAAATGGATTTTTTTTTATTAATGAGAAGTTTAAAACTTTATACTTTATACAGTACTCAGAAACAACTAGATGTTACACACAGGACAATTTATCAGAAAACATGAATACATTTAATCAACATGAAGATACAAAAAGAGATATTGATAAAGAAAAAATTAATGAACATGAGATGATAAATGCATGTTCAATGGGTCAATTAGAGATTGTAATTAAGTATCTTGAATGTAATTACTTTATAGTGAATTAAATTATATTTTGTAGTACGTTTTTAAAAAATACTTTATTCAAAATATGTATTTTACTAATTTATATAATTATACGTAGCAAATGATATAAATAAGTTTTTGCTTAACGGATGGACTCCACTTTTGTATGCTACTGTTAATGCACAAATAAAAATCATTGAGTATCTTATAAACAATGAAGTTGATGTTAACAAGCATAAAGGTATTTACTTTGAATTTTCTATTACTTGTTATCACCTGTTTGAAATTAAATTTTTTAAACATTTTATATTATTTCTGAATAATGTAATTTTAGATGGCTATACACCATTAATGGCATTATGCAATTCTATTAAAGAAACAACAGAACAACGTATAAAGTGTTTAACAGTATTAATTGAAGCAGGTGCTGATCCAAATGCAAGCAATAAATTAAGGTATTTTGTAATATAATATTTTAATAAATCACTCAATTTTAATAAATACTAATTAATATTTTTGTAGACAAACTCCTTTAATGTTTGCTTGTAAGTCACAAGAAGTAGAATTTATAATAGAACTAATAAAATATGTAAAAAATATTAATGCATTTGACAATAGAAAACAAACTGTAAGTTTTTTTAATAGCTAAAATTATTTTTGATAATAGTAATAATTATTTATTGTTCAGTGTGATATAGTAATTTATTGTTTGCAGGCATTGATGTATGCAACAATAGCTAATAAACCAGAAATAGTTAAAATATTAATAGAAAATGCAGCAGACATCACATTGGCTGACTTTAATAAGTTAACTGCATATGATATAGCTTCTATGAAAGGATATGATAAAGTAAGTTTATATTATCTCATTATAAATCACAATATAATTTTAATTAATTATTACAGATTTTGTCATTATTAAATTTTAATGAAGAAGAATCAACAAATATTTATAATCTATCTAAAATATACAATTGGAAAGATATTTTTCCGTCATTAATTAATATAGATAATCAAACTGTAGATACTGATGTAGATACACTTTTATATGGAATGAGTTTAGAAAAATATGCTCATATCTTTCAAGGTATAAATCTTAAGACATTTTTAACGTTAAATGAAAACGATTTATGTCGTTTAGGAATGGATATTAATGCACATAGAATGCAATTTATAGAATGCCTTGATAAATTTCATAGGAAAAAATGGAGTATACAAAGTATTGGTGCAGTCAATAAATCGCTACCTTATACGTATGTAAAGTATTTACCTTATACATATTTACCTATAACATATTTTTGTAAAATTGAATGAAGAAAATTTAACTTTATATTCGTTTTTAGATTATATAATGGCGTAATTTCATTAGGCATATTATCCAAACAAATTGCTATCATTGGTTCTAGTTTTCGGCATATTAAAAATAGTTTAATAAAGATAAATAGTGAAAATGTACACTTAACTAAGTTGCAAATATCTAATTATGAGCAAGAGCTTAAAAAGACACAAAAAACACTTAATATTCTGAAAAATGAACTTATGCAAATAAAAGCACTTTCTAAAAAGGTAAGTATGAATAATTATATTATTGAATTATATATTGGTATGAATTATTATATTGGGTATATTAAAGAGAAAACATTAAAATATATTTTATTAACACAGATTGAGAAAGAAAACGATATTGGTATACCAGCAATTTATATTGGACCAAAGAAACGTAACATAAATTGGCCTGTGTTCTTAAGCATTACACTAATTGTAGGGATATATGTATCTAAAACAATACATATTCAGAAATTAATATATCATTGAAAATATCATTGTATTTGTTTAGAATTCTTATATATTATATGATTTATATATCTTATATATTTGCTTTTTTTAAGTTATTCATGCAGAATATAATATTTTCTATAAATATACATCTTATGTAATATAAATTTTAATGTTCATTTAAATCAGCTAATTTTTTCATTAATGGAAATAATGGGTGGAATGTTGGAAGATTTTGTTGTCTGACTGTTAAGTGATAACGTTCTAGTGGTCCACTACAGAAAGCTAATCTATCTCTTTCATTTGGATGTTTATCCATCCACTGAGATAGTCGACCCACAGACCAACTTGTACTCTATATTAATAATAATTAATAAATTAATAATAATCTAAAATCTCTTAAATTCGGAATAATTCAGTCTCATTAAAAAATAATAGTATGAATATAATAGTTCTTATACCTGATGTGGAGATACCAATTCTGGTGGTGCTGTAGAAAATAAGTGTAAAAGAACGAGGGAACGAGGTACACCACATTCTCCTTCTCCTTCTAAAACTTTCTGGACAATTTCATCAGGACTAAGTGGAAGTAATGCTTTTAGTGCTCGTAATGTTCTATATTGTTGTTGTTCTGATGATCCCAATTGCCCTCCTCTGCATAATGGAGCAACAGCTACTTCTATCTAATATAAAAAAAAGATTCAAATTTATATCTAAAATTTCGACGTGACACTGTATGTATATATATATATATATTACAATATACCTGACTAAAATCAACAATGAGTTTGGTTCTTCCAAGATCAGTTAATGGTCTTAATAAACTAGCATGTCTTACGAAAAGTTCAATGCATCGTGAAGCAACAGATTTACAACTAAAAGATAATTAATTTCAGTATTATATTGAAAATACATTATTAAAGTTATGATTATATTTTTTATTACCATTCAGCAACTACCGCTTGATTTTTATATGGCATAAGAAATGTATTTACAGAACGTAAAATAAATCCTTGCAATTCACGCATATAGAGTGAGCAGTTAATTTCTTTTCCTACAGGACTACTTGGACTATATAGAAAAAATACACACACACACACATATATATATATATAATTTTAAAAATATATTTACTTTAGGCACATTTAATTTACTTACTCTCGAAATTCTGCATCATCATGCATGGTTAAAATAATACTTTCAATTGCATCATTAATAGACGCTAGTAATGGTGATAATATATTTTTTGTTAATATATCTATTTCTTTAAGAGCTACAAAAATTACTGAACTTCCTTCAGATGGTAGACCAGATAAATTTGCTATTACACGAGTTACTTGACTAGAAAGATAGTAAAGTAGGTTTGCAAGAGATACGTTTGTTTGCTGAACAGTGGTTGGAGAATCAATTACTTGACTAGCTTCTCCACCTACAAATAATCCTTGTTCGCATTTTAAGCAAAAAAGTCTTACAGCTTTCCCTACATTACGAGCAACTATTGTTGAAAGACCATCATCAACCAAAGAGACACTTAATTCACTGCAAAAAAATTGATATTTATAGAAATGAAAATTGATATAGCAATTTAAAAATCTATCTTAACTTACTTTGTTACTGTACGTATAAGACTATCAATTTCATCCTGTGAAGGCAATCCTTCTCCAGAAAACATAGTGTGCACTGGATCTAGTAGACGTGATACTGATCGAGATAAGTATGCATTTTCAAATGGTAATAATACATCGTGACTGGAAGAATATGAATGTTATTTGTATTATGCAAGTTAAATTGTTTGACATGATTAAACGTCTTCTTACTTACTTAATTTTGTAAATACCAATACTCTGTAATCGTTCCTTTAAACGTTTTCTCAAATCTAGAAATATTCTCAAAAATTTTGGATATTCGCCTTCTAATGCTTGTTTTACAAATGATGAGGCTAAAAATATAAATGAGATATTTTTATTCGAATGAAGATTTTAATATAATAATTGATATTTACCTTGTGCACGTTCAACCAATACTTTAGAAAGTAGAGTGTTTACTCTGTTCCAAAATGTCTGTGATAGTTCATCTAATCCCTTTATATGATGTTCTAATAGTATTCTTTGTAATAGTTCAATCTTCAAGATAACAATAGTATATAGTTAGCAAATATGAATTTTTCTATGAATAAAATGAATTTAGAAAGATATGAGGAATATTTTGCAATTACTTGTAAACAGTGTGTATAAAGAGTATCTTGAAAAAGTCTTTCAAGATTATCCCAAATTCGTGTACGTAAATTTCCTGAAAAACCTGGAGAAGGAATAGCAGCTCGCCCAGGTGCTGCCCTTTTCCCAAGATCTTGATTTGTTGCTAAAGTTACATCTAATGATTCTGAAGCAATTTTTTCAATCTCAGACAAGGCAGAATCTATAATATTATCTATAGCTCCATTTACAATTCCAAGGTTTTGAAATACTTGTACAGCTGTACTAACCTATTTATTATTAATTATAATTAATAGATTGGAAAGGTAGTGTCTAAAAGAATAATATGTACTCATATACTTTAGTTCTATCCATCATTTGTAATCCTTGAGACAAAGTATGAGTTGCTATTCTTTGTACTGTTGCCCTATGAGATTTTACAACTTGTTGATCATCAGCAATAACATCTAATCCATTCAAATCTGTATCCATCATTAATTGTTCTATAAATCAAAATTATTATGTTTCTTATATATATATATCTTTCTATATTGCAAAATATGAAATTAAATATAAATTACTATACCAAGTTCATGAAGGCTATTTGCAGCTTTTATGATATCTGGACCTTGCATATTATTTGTCATTTGAGAACATAAACGTTTTGATAAATGTTGCATTCTAGCTACTCTCCGTAGTAAATCAGAAGTTTCATGAAGTCTTGCTAAAACAATTGTTTGAGTCTCAATTCTATTAAAAGGATCAATAATTTTTCCACGTAAACGTTCCACAGCTGATAAAAGGCTCTAAAACACAAATATTTAAGTTTCATTTGAAACAATATTTATTTTCTTCAATATATTTACAAATGTATTTACGCGTATATACCTGAACATGTAATTGCATTATTGAAAGTACACCTTCTAATTTTTCTACCCATGTTGCTTGTGACAATAAATCTTCATGATTAGCTAATACTTGCTTCTGTAATTCGGCATTCAATATTTCAATGGCTATATGAAAAATATATATATATATACATTACGATATATTATAACATTAGTTTATATTAGAGGTATAATAATTTTTCTGTTTACCTTGTCCTAGTTTATTTATTTGTTGTGCTACTGACAGGACTTGATTGATATCACCTTTTTTGGATTCACCATTAAAAAATCGCTTAAAAAATTCTAAAAAAACAAATACTTAAAAAAATATTTCTAATACACAGTTTGATAAAAAAATGTTGAATAAATTACCATCATTTTCTATATCTTCCCAACTTGTAATTTCATCCATTATTTAGAATATGGATAGATTTAGAATTAAGAATAATAAAAATACAAATTGAAAGTAAAAGATAATTAATGACACGTAGGTAGTAAAATTTATAGGTTGTAATTACTTTGTGTTTTAAACCTTACATTTATTTATTGTTACAATTGGTTATTATTGATTAGTTAATATATTTTTTTTATTACTTATACCACATTATTTACACTAAAGTTTTACTAATGGAAATTTACACTTGTATACTTTCGTTACAATTATATATGTATGGATAATAAACGTAAGTCCGTGGCGAATGGTGTATCAGTATTAGTATAATTTGTAAATACAGAAACATACGTCAAGTATATGTAGAGTATTAAAATAAAATTGATAAATAATTTAAACAGTGAACTGTATAGAATAATTTCTTGTAAAAAATGATACATAGCCTTTTTATTATCAATTCATCAGGGTAAGTATTAAATCACAGAGAAAGATACATATTTGACAAGTATTTGGTTAGAAATCTGCATGTGATACATATTACACATATCCAAATTTATGTATTATAACTTGTATATGTGTCAAAAGTTTTTACACGTAACTAAACAATTTTTACAAACGAATATTTTCTAAATTTCATAAACTTAAAGTATTAATTAACCTTAGAGATGTTTTCATGGAAAAGCATTGGAAAAGTGCAGTGGCACGGTCATTGTGTGACTATTTCTTTGATCAACAGCGAAGAGTTTTATCTCCTGAAGATACACCACCTGTAATAGCTACTCCTCATCATTATCTCATTAGTATATATCGTTGTAATATGTTTTTTGTTGCAGTATGTATGACAGAAGGTATTTATTATGACTTGAAATTAATAAATTGATTTTAATCATAATAGATCCCAAATATTTTTTTTTGTTTTATAGTTCCACCATTATTCGTTATAGAATTTTTACATAGAGTAGTGGATACTTTTGAGGACTATTTCAGTGAATGTACAGAAACTATCATAAAAGAAAACTATGTGGTTGTTTATGAACTACTGGATGAAATGTTGGATAATGGCTTCCCATTAGCTACAGAATCTAATATTTTGAAGGAACTTATTAAACCACCAAATATATTAAGAACTATTGCAAACACTGTAACAGGAAAATCTAAGTAAACATATTTAATGTATATTTAAGATAAAATATAAATATAAAACTTGAAATATATATTTAATTACACACATAAATTATAGCGTTAGTGCAACATTGCCAAGTGGACAATTGTCTAATGTTCCTTGGAGACGTACTGGTGTTAAATATACAAATAATGAAGCATATTTTGATGTTGTGGAAGAAGTTGACGCTATTATTGACAGAACTGGTGCAACTGTATTTGCAGAAATTCAAGGATATGTATGTTTTTACCTAATATTATCAATGCTGATTTATATTTGAATAAGAATATTTACAATGTGTTGTTTAAATTACAGATTGACTGTTGTATAAAATTGAGTGGTATGCCAGATTTAACACTTTCTTTTATGAATCCCAGATTATTTGATGATGTCAGTTTTCATCCTTGTGTTAGATTTAAAAGATGGGAGGTAAGGACAAGTAATAGCTTAAACTTCATAATTGAATTATTAATAAAAATTTTTTTTCAGTCAGAACGTATACTTTCCTTTATTCCGCCAGATGGAAATTTTCGTCTTCTCTCTTATCACATAGGATCACAAAGTATTGTGGCAATTCCAATATATGTAAGACATAATATTAGTCTCAAGGAATTAGGTGGTGGCAGATTAGACATAACTGTTGGGCCAAAGCAAACTATTGGTAGAACTGTACGTATTATAGTTTATTTCTAACTTTACGCGAAAATATAAAAATTGATATAATTTTGTTATGCATATTTTAGGTCGAAAATGTCACATTAGAAATTCCTATGCCAAAAATAGTTTTAAATTGTACATTAACTCCAAATCAAGGAAAGTACTCATTTGATCCTGTTAGCAAAATACTATTATGGGATATTGGAAGAATAGATGTTTCTAAATTACCAAATCTGAGAGGCTCGGTAAAATAATTATATAATTGTGAAATAATTGTTTAAAGTGTAAGCAGTTATGTAGAAATTACAATATAACTAAAACAATTAATTTTTTAGATTACTATTCAGAACTCTGCCAGTGTAATGGAATCTAATCCTGCAATTAATGTATGTTTATATGTATTATGTGTTACTATTGTATGGAATGAAATTTAATAATTATTTTATTTCAGGTTCATTTTACAATCAATCAATTGGCAGTTTCTGGTTTAAAAGTTAATCGATTGGACATGTATGGAGAAAAATATAAACCATTCAAAGGTGTTAAATATATTACCAAAGCTGGAAAATTCCAAATTAGGATGTAAATAAAAATAATGTAAAATGATATAAACTGTTTCTTATATTAATCATAAAACTAATTTCAAGAGCATATATATAATCAGAAATAAAAAATAATAAAATCTTATGAAACGAATTAATTTAGTTTTTATTTGTATTTGTATTATACACTAAACTTTCATTAAAATTTAACGCTTTCTATGGTGAAATATCATGCTTTCTAATGTAGATACTTCTAAGAGTACTATATTATTAATAATTCAATAAGAAAATATTCAATGTCAATGAAATTGAGAAATTAAACTAAAAAAAAATATTTGTAAAGAAAGAAAATATTAAAAGAATATGATTAGACACTTCAAATTAATTTGAAATTAATTTTATTAGGAAAATATATTTTATAAAAAAGTGTCATAGATAATACACAAGTCTTTAATTTATTTCTACCTTAAATTACTTTAAAAAATATTTACATTATAGGCTGATGACATGATAATTTCTTAGCTTCAAGATCTTCCCATGTTGGATGTGTTGCATATGTAAATAACCGTTCCATATTAGTTGCATAAATAGTATGATTACTAACAAGATTTTTATACATCTGTATAAAAATAAAATAAAGATATTAAACCATAAAATACTAAGCATCATTTAAATAGTTTTAATGAATGTTTCTTTACCTTTAGTGTATGCTGTAAATCAGCTGTATTAACAGGTTTTAGTGTAGGTGGAATAGTCTGTGGAGAACATGCATAAGTAAAAGCTGTGGCTTGTTCTGCTTCTTCAATATTTGGTTTTATCATAGGTACTTGACCATAAGGATCTATTATTTCTGTTGTAGTATGATCTGATGATCTTAATATATGAGTAGAATTTCTTTTCCATGAACTAGGTACTGGTTCTCCAATATTATAAATAAATGAACTATCTCTAACAGCATATCCTTTCCTTCTCGTAAATATTGCTGTAAGAATATTCTTTAAAAAAATTTGTGTAGCTGCTATAACTATATGTGCAGTATTTTCTTCTGCTCCATCCATATTATTTTCCCATGCTGCAAGCATTAATCTTGCTAAAACAAAAGTTCTATCTGGAAGTACAAGTTCTTGAGCACTGGAACGATTTGCTCCAATAGGTTCATCTCCAACAGGTGATGAAGTTTGACTTAATACTTCAACATACATATCTGCAGGCTAAATATAAAATGTATAAAAATAAGATTATAGTTTATAAAAAAAATATTAATGTCTCATGAGAAGTAAATAAATTGATTCTAATCATATACCTCAAAATTTGATTTATCAGTTTTATATTTTCGTTTTAATCTTAGCCTTTTCTCTTTTATAGCTTTATCTCGATCTAATTTTCGTGTAGGTGTGGCAGCAGCTAAACCTCTAACTTTATTAAATAAACAAAGAAGAAACTCATTGTGAAGATGAACTTGATCTTCTGTCATGATGTTTCTTGCTTCACAATCAAATTCTTCTTTTGTTGTCTGAAACAATAATATTTTATAAATGATATTTATAATATTGTAAAAATATTTCAAAATATTAAATCTCATCTCAGTATTATTTAATATATAACATCAAGTACCTTCATTTGAAACCATAGCTTCATTTTTTCAAAGTACCTGGAAATAAAATCTTTTAAGTAATCATTTTTGAAAATTATATTTTAATATAAGAAAGTTTAATTTTATTCATGAAACAAAGTAAAAATTAAAAAGATTGTAATGATTTTAAATAATTAAAAATTCTGAAAATATTAATAATTTAATATGAACATTATGTATTTTTTCTGGATATTTCAAATTTACAATGTAATTTTTGCTTTTTCATTAAACTTAAAATATATCTTACACTTTTGCATTTTCACCAAGCGAAGCTACAAGACTTTTTCTAGCTAAATTTAATTCTTTCGATGTTGTCATTTCTGAAGCATTAGGCCTTACATAAAATAACCTATACAGTCAATTTCAATGCGAGTCTTAGAGCTTTTGTGTATACTTTAATATTTTTAATTTAATTGCATTGGCACTCTTAATATTTTCATAAAATTTTATATTGAATATATAATTATATAATTATTTTGTATAATTTCATAACATTGCTCTAAACAATCAAGTTTCTGAATTAAAACTTTTATACTGACTTTTTACAAATGCTTCTTATATATGTAATATATAATTATATTTAAAACTATACATTTTTGAAATTTTTGAATGTTTTATATGGAATATTTAATGTAAATCTCAATATTAAAAAATAATAAAAATAAAAAATAAACATTACTTAATTACAAATTGTATTTATATATGGTAGAATAAAAAGAGAAAACATTTAGCTTCTTGTCCTATTTGATTTTAAGACAGTGCAAATATAGTTGATCTCAGATTATTGAATATAAACATAGGACTAGAATTTATTTATAGTTTCATTGCGGTTCCTTTGTTTCATATTTCCAATATTTGGTGCAAAGTAATCGCTTGCAACAATGTGTTCTTTTTCTAATTTTGAGAGAGTTGAAATGCTGTTAATTTTTGCCGAATGCAAGAGAAATTCTCGACAAGCTACTAAAGTCTACAGAGATAAATTTCCGCAACGAAACCTTCTGAAGTAACGATTTCCATTACTGCAAATGGAATAACATATTAATAAAAATATCATGTAATATGTGTTTTGAATTCATCTCGATGTTCTCTACAAAACGGTGGAAAAAAAATTATGTGTTCCTATTTGTTTAATCCAAAGTGACCTTGATTTAGCTATGAAAACAAACAGTTTTCGAAATATTTTTTATTGACATCTACAGTACACCCTATACCGTTCAACTTTTGTTCTAAACTTTTTTTTGTCAGATGGCCGTAACTGAATGAAAAATTGTGCGAAAAGAATTTAGATCAACGACATCTATGTTCATTAAATCGTTCCGTCGAGATGCGTATTTCCGGTAAACAATAGAATATTTAAAAATTGTTAGTAATTTTATTACTACCATGGAAATGTTTACTGACACTTATATATATTGTAGCCATAGTAGAAATTCTTCATTCGTTATTTCGTTATTTAACTTTCATCATGTAATCTTCATTAAATTATTAGTAATTGTATATTTTGTTATATTGATAATATTTTTATATAAACAACTAAAATTAATTACGGAGTTATTATTTATTTGTAGTATTGTGATATACATATAAATTTAAATTATCGTAATCACTACAACCCCGTAAAACAGTGAAGTGAACAGTTTCATTTGCGAAAAAACCTAATTTAGCGAAGTGAATTGTGAACTTTGGCGATTATATTACCCTAATTAGACCCTTAGCTTTCTTTTCATACCCCATTTGAGCCGTAAAATGCAGAATGTTTTTTTAAATTAGTACCACTGAGTCACCGCTAGATGGCGCCACAATATCCATTTTGTGACAGTTCGCATTAATTACGAGAAAAATCTAATTAAGAGGAATAATTTGCGAACTTTTTTATATGCCTCCTTTAAATTAGGCGTCTCGCTTTCATTCTATGTGTGCTTTGTCCTGGAAAAACGTCTGTGTAAAAAGTTGAATTTTTTTTCAATAGATCGAAGGTTGTCCTTCTCGCACACTGTTGCTTTCCTTGTCTAGCGTCACTAGACAAGGAGAGCACTAGCATGCGACAAGACAGACATATAGCCGCGGTAGACAAGAAGAGCAACAGCGTTCAACAAAGACAAACATATAGCTGCGAGAGACAAGGAGAGTAATAGCGTGCGACAAGGACAAACATATAGCCACGGTAGACAAGAGCAACAGTGTGCGACAAGGACAGACACACATATATAATTCACATTATCACTTTCAGAAAAAAAAAATTTTCATCAAAAAAAAATATTAACTGCAGTAACTGTTACATATCTAAAACTCGCTAAAAATTGTATATAAAATTCTTTAAAAAAAAAATTCTCGTTATACATTTTTTAAATAATGTATTATTTTATTCTTATGATGTAAAATAATTTTGTAGAAATACAATATATAAAACAATATAAAAATTCTGGAACTTTCATAATAATCTACTTCATATCACAAACGTTTGTTAAAATTTATGAGTACATATAATTCTTTTATTATTTCTTTTCTATCTAAAAATCTATTTTTTATCCTTTATTTGTGCAACTATGTTCGCTTTATTTAGTGTCACCTAATTTCTTTTGAAAAAATTTTAGAGTGTACCAAATCCCATAATATGGAGCTTGTATCTTTTTTAGTACATAAATCCATTATAATTTGTGTACTTTTCATTCCCCGCATTATTCCCAAGCATGTACCAGCTGCCATGTTATATATAGGTGTATTATTCTAAACAAAATATAATTATTCAGTGAATATAAATTAATTTGACATCATTAAGAAACTAATAAGAAATAAATATTTACAGTATTTTTGTGACGCCATTCTTGATTGCCGCCCATTTCATGGCATTTTCCAAGCTTTGGAATTTTCTCACTTCCTTCCATGCAAAGCATTTGACCAAGTACTAATTCTTTTTTATCAGTCTCATACCACATCTATAAAAATTAAAATAAATTTAAGGAAATACATTAACAAAATGAGTATCCAATTAAATTAGTGTTATAATTATAATACTTAGTCACCTGAGATTTAATTCTTAAACATGGCGCTAAAATAAGTTTAGACCCTTTTGTTTTAATATCTTTTTCACTTTGAATGCATAATGCTGAATTAGAAAGTCTAATTTGGTACTGATCAGTGTAATTTCTTTTTCTAGAATGCCAAGGTTGTATTGGTTTCTGTTCAATTTTTGCCCATTTATCTTTTAATTTATTTTTGTTATCATCTGGTAATGCTAATTCAGGATATACTACATTTAAGTACCACGAAAAATTTTTACATTTTAATCTCTTTCGTAAATTTAGCCTTTCCGTAATATCGCCATAATCAATGTTCTTAACGTTTTTTAAGAAATAATCTTTATATTCGTCTAACCAAACATGCGCGACGCGTAATGAATTTTTCAACATAGTATCATGTTGATCAAATGTACCATATGGTCTCCTTCTTCTAAACACATGTCCAACTCTCGAACACGGTATCAATTCGATACTTCCACCACACATCCAAATCTAAAAAACATATAAATTACTATTGAAATAAAAAGCATATTAGTGAATTAAAAATATGATATTAAATAAATTATCTTACTCTAAATGATATTTCAAGATTTTCACCACCCCAGATATCCATACCAGCATCATATTCTCCTAATTTTGTAAAGTATTCTCTGTCCATTGCAAATAAACCTCCAGCCATTGTTGGAGATCTGTTTAATAATAATTGCTAATGTATATGTTAGACAAGATTATTACATAAATACACATTTAACTGAATAAATATACATATATTCTCACTTTACAGGTTTTATAAAATCTTCATTATGTACAAATGTACCAACTGGCACATTATCCCATTTAAAATGCAAACCCCAATTAAAACCTCCTCGTACCAGAGGACTACCAGTATATTGAAACGTATCTGGATTAATTATGTCAATAATTGGCATGGCAGTGATGGTTTTTGAATGAGCAATTCGTGAGAGAAGTGGTTCTATCCATCTTTTGTTTACTTCTATGTGACTATCTAAGAAAATTAAAACTTGTCCAGTTGCTTTTCTTGCACCAAACATTCTTGCTCTAATTAATCCCTCTCGTTTTTCTGTTTTAAAAAACTTCACTTTATCGTTGAAATTATTAATGAAATATATTTTAATTTTTTCATGTAAAGCTTTGTCATCGCTCCAATCATTTACTAAGATAATTTCATGTAAAAGATTTTTAGGAGTTCTATCAATAATAGAATGTAAGGATCTCAAAAGTGTCATATAATGTTCATTATAAAAACATATAACAATACTAGCATTTGGTAACTTGGAGGAGTACTTTTGTTCTTCACATAATTTATGCCTTGTATCTGGCAACTCTCTATGCAATCCAATATTATCTGACACTAATATATTGAAGGAATAATTCTTATATCCTTCATCTCGTTTTCGTTGATCATCAAAGTTTCTTACCATACCTAATTCATCTAAACCTATAAATAAATTCAATATATTTTGCAAATATAACTATATAAGATAATAATGATAAACAATATTAAAAAACAATATATCAAGAATTTAAAGTTTTCTCAACATACCTTGTCCTAATGTAACAGCAGATTTTACTGGCACAGGTTGCAATTGTTGCAATAGTTTATCACTATTTTTAAAATTACTTCTTCTTAAGTTATAAGTATTTTTGTCAATCATACTTTGTTTGTCATGGTGAGCAATTAAATTATTATGGAATTTAAGATTGTTGTAAGTTTTACGATAAAATTGGGATTCTTTTCCTAACTTTGAATTCTCTAATACTAACATTGTTGGATTTACAGTATTAGTACTTTGAGAGAGTTTCGAATAAAGATATAGACTAAAAGCCCATGTTAACGAGGCTATTATTATTCCAGATATAAAGGAAACATATCTTGTTGACATCATCTGTAAACAATAAAAAACGATAAAGAATATTCATAAACATAAGCTGCATTCTTTAGAGCTATGTATTTACTAACCTTTTTTCATTAAAAGCTACTTTTATGAAAAACAATTTATTACAAATAAAAAATTATATACTCCAGTATATGTTGAAATACTACCTTGTTAACTCTATTTAAATTCTAATTATTCGAATATCCTAAAGTTTAAAAAAAATACACAGCAAATTACTACAAAATGTGTGTCACCATCTTGGAATTTACAGGTAACAGCTGCATTATTGACTTCTAATTATTTTGTGATATATGCATAGATATATATGCAGAATAAAGAAATGTAAATCTTTTAGGAATAATATTTATATTCATATTAATTTATTAACAATATTTAATTATTTCTAAATTTGAAGAATAATACAGAGATGTAAGAAGATTTCTTCTACCAGCCCCTGTGGCCTAATGGATAAGGCATCGGTCTCCTAAACCGGGGATTGTGGGTTCGAGTCCCACCAGGGGTAAAAATAACTTTAACAATTTTTTACTTTTGTAAAAAAATATTTACTATTTCTTATATTGCACCATTATTATTTATATTCTTACACCATTAGTATCCACAGATTTTGAATAGTGACAAAGAAATCAATACAGATAGGATACTTTATTTATATAAACATTTTATTATCCCAATGAATTATTCATTTATATTATTGCATCACAAAAACATAGAAACTGCTTTTTATTTAATTTATACAATAGTTAAAAATCTGTGCATATTCAGATTGATGAATTATCTTTTGCAGTTTTAATTGCGGCTTCATTTTCATTGTGATTATTTTTTACATCTGCTTTATAATGTGTAATAAATCTTGCAGATGGATCAGAAATTCCTTTCGTCCATCGTGGCATCCAAAAGTATGGCACAAAATTTTCAACTTGTCCTTCATAGTGTTTTTCAAAAACTTTTCTGAAATATAAAAATTAATATTTATTTCAAATACTAGCAATTATTTGTAAGATTAAATTAAACGCAAAGATAAATATTAAACCTGTAATAAAGAGCTTCTTTAGTTTTTGGAGGACAATGAGGAAATTTTAAATAAGCTTTTTCTAGTTCTTCATTTGATACATGAGCATCCACAATATCGTGTATGATATGGAATAATGATTTCTTAATCGATGTTACTCCATCACTGAAAGCTTCTTTATGTCTCCATAATATATTTGATGGTAACAGATTTGTATTATCAAATGCGGATCTTAATAAATATTTTTCAGTTCCTCCTGCATTGGATAATATATATATATTTAAATTTAATAATGACGTAATTATATAAATTTAATTTTTGACTTTTATTTTATAAGACCATACTTTGAGGTTGTCTAGAAGCAGCATCTAATGATAGGTAATAATTTGTGAATTGGATATCTAAGAATGGCACTCGTAACTCCAAACTAAATGCACTAGTTGTTCTATCTGCTCTTAAGCTATCATATAGATAGATATCTTTTAATAATCGTACAGACTCATTGTGAGCCTCTCTTGCATTTGGTGCATCTCTGAAATAAATATATCCTTGTGCCAATTCATCTGCACCTTCTCCACTAAATATTACAGTCGTTTTTGTGTTATTTTTTATGTATCTTGAAATAAGATACATACTGAAATGGAAATAAATATTTCTAAATATGTACAGATTATTTATTCATAAAATTAAGATATTTGTAGAATAGAACTTACCCAATAGAAGCTCGAATTGTAGTAATATCACAGGTTTCTAATTGATAAATGAGTTTATCCAAAATATCAACTACATCCTTTTCGGAAAATATTACTTCATGATGTTCTGTTCCTATATGTTCTGCGACCTAATAGATATTGTTATATTTAATTTTGAGTAAAAAAAGAGGCATCATTGCATAAAGAAATAACTTTCAACCTGTCTAGCTGCAATAATATCTGGACTGTCTCCCATACCAATTGCAAAACTTTTTATTTTGTATGGTAAATTTGCCTCCTTTGCATGTTTTACAAGCAAAGCAGCAATTAAACTGGAATCTAAACCACCTGATAATAAACAACCAACTTCTCTGTCAGTCATTAATCTTTTCTTCACAGCAGCTGAAAGTAACTTTCTTATATTTCCATGCACATCTGTGCTACTCAAATCTGAAATATATTCTATTAGATTATTTCCTTCATTTAAAGTTTATAAATATTACAATATTACATGTTTGAACAAACTATTATAAGGAACAAATGCTGAAAAATGAGCCTTATCTCCAGGTTGATAATAATTTACTTTTGTTAATAATTTCGTTCTACCATCATTCAAAATTTCATATTCTTCATAACTTCCTGGTTGAAATGGTTTCAGTGCCCACTTTGATGTCATTTGTTTAGTTATATCCATAAGTCCCTAAATAAAAATTTTTGTTATAATAAATGCTTATTTTATATTGAAATAAGTTACATTTGATTTATTACTTTGCTTTCTGAACAAATTCCAAGTTGTCCATCATCAGACTGTAATTGGAAAAGAGGTCTAACACCATAGGGATCTCTACCAATAAGAATTCTTCTATTTTTAATGTCCATTAAACAAAATGCAAAAACACCATCGAGCATTCTTGCCACATTTTCACTACCAAAATGTACATATAAATGTATTATCACCTCTATGTCGCAGTGAGTGGTATATGTAAATCCATGTTCTGTACCAAGCTATAAAGTTTATTATGTAATTTATTATGTAATAAATGAAACAGTGATCTAAAAAAATAAAATAATATTTAAATATCCTCTTTTTCTTGAAATCTTACTTTCTGGTAATTATAAATTTCACCATTACATAATAGAAATAAATGTGGGTATTGATAAAGCCTCATTGGTTGCATTCCTTGAAGATTGTCAACAATTGCTAATCTATGAAACCCAAGGTAACCATTCTATAAAAAATATTACACTAATTTTTTTATAATATTATACAAGTAAATATATATATATAATTGCTTAAAAGATTTTAATGAAACCATACTTTAACTGCATGGTCAAATTCAAGTTTGAATGCTTCTGGACCACGATGTGTTATCTGCTCAAAGTTTTTGCAAATATGAGTTAAAGATGGCACATCTAAACCAAAGAGAGCCCAAATTCCACACATTTTCTTAATGTATTGACCTATAACATATTATTATTATTATTGTATAACTTGAAACATCTTGTATGGGAAAATTAAAGTATTTACAAAATAAACACTGAACTGAAATATTAAAAACAATAAAAATTACCTTACAGGAAATATTGCAAAAAGTAGAATTTCTCTTTCGTTTCAATTATTATATACATATGTGTATAATAATGTTAAGACCGAACACGAATGGGTGCGCGTTACAGATACGTTATTCCACGTATGTAAGAATTTGCACGTTATTCCACGTATGTAAAAATTTGTACGTTATTCCACGTATGTAAGAAGAGTTTTCTGACGTAATATTGACGAAATAAACAGTGTGATAATAAAACAAAAAATATATATTTTATTTTATTTTATTATTATTAAAATAGTACTTCATATTTTGATTCATTTGAAGGTTTTTAATTTTTTTATTCTGATGGTAATACAAAACTGTTAAAAATGACAATAAAATATAATAATAGTCATAGAATTTCCAAAAATTTTCCGCTTACAGTTTAAAACATCAAAATAATTAAAGAAGAATAAAAGTAAAATGCTCTTCATTTTCTAACTTTAATAAAGGATTTTTCAAATATTAAAAGGATGTAATTATTATATTTTATTAAAATAAGATATACTTTTGCAATTGCAAATACATTTGTAATTTAAATATTTCTATCATTTACCGCAAACTGGAATTGGTCGATCTTAAAATTACTTAAGCAAAACTGATTCTATGAAATGTATTTATCGCATTTATGATATATTATTTTATATTTATGTTTATATTTTATTTTATAATTTATACATATATTACATCCAATTTTCCTTTTTAATATTACAGGCAAACTGTTCATTCATCAATTGACTATATTATAACATATGAACAATCTATAAAATTACATTGGCAGCTTTTAACCACGCATTAATCATAGATATTTTCGTCGATCCTTCGCGAACGTTTCTACATTTAAAAATTAATTAAGAAAATTTCATTTTTTGCTTGATTGAAGCAATGTATATTGATGATCAAAAGTGTTCGCGCAACGATCGCAGTCGGTGGTGCCCTCTATCGATTCAGTCGAAAGTTTAATACTACGAAGTAGTGATTACATTAAAGACGGAAAGGGGAAATACGATTGCTGTTTCTCCTCTCTGGTTTGCTCTCTTTCTGTTGAATTTACATGGATTGCCACGAACTGTTCTTGTTGGTAGTATGTGCATTGAAAATTCAAGAGAGTTTACGTTTAATTTCGATGAGCATGCTCGCCCGGACGATAGCTAAGTTGATCGAACCAGTGCGGGGATATTAAACGTCCGAGCAGTTTGTTCGGTCAGCTGGTCACTTGTGGGACCGCCTTGAATGTTGGCATACAAGCGCGCGGAGCAGTTGGCTCTCGCCAGAGCTCCAAGAAAGATGTGTGATTGGGGGTGTACGGTTTTTGAGACTGCCACCGGTTTCTTGCGTGCCGGCCGCTTTATGGCCTACAACGCGGCACCATAGCCTCGGCTATTCGACGAAAGGTATCCTTATTTTGTGGTTTGTTCATCCGTCCGTTGTAAATACGCGTAGTCGACGTACTCGCAAGAATGGAGTAGCCGTTGGCGAGAGGTTCCCCGGTGACGAATCATCTCCTACGGTGAAAACGGATATATAGAAGATCGACGACACTCGTTACCGTTTACTTACCATTGAAGCTTAAGTTTGGACAAGTTGAAACTTGCACACGCCGAGGCACGACCAGAGCATCAAGGAAAATACCCTGAACGCACGATACGACGACGGTGGTGCGCTTCGCATACGACGCGCTTTAGGTTAAGTGTCATTCGACGTACTATCGCCGAATGACAGTCTGAAAAGGAGTCAGGTACTCGTTGTATCGATTGCATTCGAACTTCTCTTGCTGCATTATTGCACACGAGTGCGTACGTACTGTCCCCTCCCTCTAAGAAAGAGCAGCAAAGAATTATTCGCCGTGGCGAGAAAACGAGGAGACGACGAAAGCTCGCCATTGCAAGCGATCAAATTCAACATATGCACGTATTCGCGTGCGCTTCTTGGCGCAACGAAAATTTCCGGAGAACGCGAGCCGGTCGATACCGGTCGAGGTATCTTGGAGAAGGAAAATTCGTGAACTATCTCTCGACAAATTTGATCGTCGCCCCTGAGTTCGCCTTGTCGATAAACGACAAGGACGATCCTAGGAATGCTTTTTTATAAACGGGCCTCTGTAAAAGTTTCCCGGCGATGAATTCAATTCGACGAAAATTTGATGAAACGAATGCAACAGCCTGACTTCGACCAGCTGCAACGTCGTTCAACAAATTCTGGAGTCTTGCTAATTACCGAACGTCTTTATTGATTGTTTACATTGGTACGTGCTCGAAACGCAAGAACAACCGGGAAGGAAGCGTGTACAGCTCAATGAGAAGAAAGTACGGTGTTGGAGCTTATCACAGGATTAGTTACTAACGTCGTTTGATGGCTCGTATGATTCCTTGGTACTTAATACGAAACCTAACCTCAACGCTGGCTGTACGATGTACTTATCATAAATCGTAAATGTTGGCGGTACTTCGATTTCTGATCGACAAGCGAGAAAATACGCGAGAAATTCTCTCTCATTTTTTTGCAATCGCTTCTTTTGAGAACATCTCTCAATTTAGTACTTAACATTTTCGATCTCCAGGAGAACGAAGGAATTGTACGTACTGTGCCGGCATTATCTGTTTATCGGCAGTGTACAGAGTTCAGTGGTGGAAAATTCGTTCGGTACGTGGGTGAATAATTAGTGAAACGTTATTTGATATTAACAATTTCGTTGCTGCAGCAGCTGACCATTTATCGGGGAACGATCGCTTTCTCTGGCGATAGCAGGAACGATTATTACGCGAATTAACGACATCGCTGCCGACAAATTTTTAGACGTCTCTTAGTGCAACGCATCGTAAATCAAGGTAATATATGCTCATACGCATTTGATAGTATAAAAATAAAATCAACTGTTTCCAACAATTATTTATCTCTTATAACATCGTTTCTTTATTTCAACGTTATCTCTGAGAATGTTTTAATTTGTTCGTTGTTTGAATTTCTGCGAATTATTACGTTTGAAATATCGTAATATACGAGAGGTATATTTTTGACTACATTTGTATTTTCGGTTTTTCTCGTTCGACTGTAGTATCAATTGTGTGCTTTGATTTTAATTCTTAGTAGTACAATTAGTAAGTTACGTACATACGTGTTTCCTTAACCTTTAAGAGTGAATTTTCCTGGAATAAAGTAAGTATTTATTCATTAATGTAACGAGGAATTGATTTTAACGTGTATATAAGAATGTATGATAAAATTTCACTTTGGCCAAGAGTAGTCTCTGGTAATCTCTAGTAATCAAGACACCTTATGTAAGATACATAGTGTACCCTTTGGCTTTAATCAGGAAGTAATAATAGCTAAGATATACATATGTACATGTATGTATGTTACGGCATCAAAGTGCCATTTACATTTCACTATTTTTTTTCTAGTTGTTAATTACTCGGTTTTTGATTTTCCAAAAATACAGCTGCACGCACTCTGCACGATATACTTTTCTCAAAAGTGCAATAGTTGTGGAAAACGAGAGAAATACATCTTTTGTACAATAAATTTTACGAAATTGAAGTTAAGATATTCTTCAAATTGACCAATTTTTAACTCAAGCTGTTTAATATTTCTTGCAGAAAATAAAAAGACGCGTTGATTGTACAAATGAATGGTAAAAACTTGCGTTTAGGAGAGGCAGTTTCGGTGACCTTGACCTTCACAAATGTCGTCAAGAACACTTTTCTGAGTAATTCCCAAGAGGTTTTAGCTGTCCTCCTTATTAATTATTAAAAACAAGCCCCGAAAGGGTATTGATTTTGCAACAGAGTCGATATTTGTCACAGTATTTAGTTATTACTGATTGAAATTTTTTTGTTAAACCTGCATCTCCATCCCAAATAGTAGAGCCAAATCTGATCTAATATATCTCTTAGATTCAAACTACTCTACTCTAAATTTAAACACAGGATAAGTTAAATGAGATTTATTTAATTCGAGATGAAGGTGCTTCTCTCCCCGCCATGTTTCGAGATTTCACATGAACGTTTTATTAAATAATGGCCAAACATTACGACATATATCAACTTTATCGCAAAATAACTGCTATAAACAACTAAAACTTGGGGAAAGAATACTTAAGGAAAGTATTCCTTGACAATATATGTGAAAGACAAGGTCATTCGAGGTGTTTCCCCTAAACGTAAGTTCTAAGTTTTTTTAGGTACTAAAAAGAATTAATGGTTCCGCTTAGAAAAATAGAGATAAACTTGAAATCTTTAAAATGCTTTCACATCTGACGTGAGCATGTTCGGAGCCATTGAGCTTGAAATTTCAATTAATGAAATTTTTTTCAGTATTTTAATTAAATATAGATTCGGGACGATTTTTTCAGTATTTTAATTAAATATAGATTGCCTTGTATATATTTTTCTATGTTAATCACGTGAAACGTATCTTTTCTGTAATTTGAATGATATTATAAACTTTATATATTTTATATATATATATAATTTTGTATAAATTATATATATAAAATTATATACTTGTTTGAATATTCAAATCGCATACACTAACAAGTATCAGTTAAAAACGATAAAAGACTATTTGTTATATATATTTATAACATATATATATATATATATTTATTTATATATATACATGTAATAGATTAATAATGTTATTTAGGCTTGAATGTAGATTTAACTACATTATGTATGAATTTCCTAAAATGAAATCGAAGCTTGTAAACTGTGACTTTCTTCTTGATCTTTACGAGCCATTATGTGCTCAACTGTGTGTAAATATTTTCATAAGCAATTAGCTGTTCGCATAAGTACAATTGTCGAACGTTGGCGTTGGTCTATTAATTATCCGTGTTAATTACCACTACATATGTGAATAAATCAAAGTCCCGGTCGACAAACTTTATGTAGTTTGTCAAAACTACAACGATTGCGTTTCTTCTTACTTTCCTACGTGGGAATATGAAATTCAACAAAAATTAAACTACATTATATTATTATAAATTACATGATATACTCCAGAAAGTATTTGTACATTCGATGAAAAATTGTCGATGTGTTAAACTATATAATATATTATAATTTCGTTCAAAAGATTGTACAATAAATTTTAGAGGAGATTGTTGCAAAGATGAGACTTCAATCTTCGAAATTATGGTAGATTTAGCTATGAAAAAAATTTGTTATGTATCTCACGAAG